CGATTCTTACCGCAGTGGTGCAGAGTGGGAAGGATAAAGCAAGAGTTCAGTTAAAGGACTTCTCAACAAGCATATTTTCTGTCTATCAGTACACTTGCTGATCATTGATAAAGAGAATACAAAGAATAATTTTGAATATCTCTTGTTCCACTTCTGGGACAGAGAAATCCTCAATATCCAAGCCTGGATGAATGGATGGTTTCCTACAGAGATGTTGATGAGTCTATCTCTCTGGGAAGACGGATTGGCCTTAATAAATAAAGGTAACTATGAACAACCAGTGGTCTGTGATGTCTTCTGGCACATATTGAGACATCAAGGTCCACAGAGAGACTTCAATAGTGAGCTGGGGAGATGAATCTAGGAAACAATCTCGCTCAACAAACACTACAGCAATATTGAGGGCTGTGGTCCACAAACACTGTAACTTTCCTCCCCACTGACTTTAGAATATGTGCAACCCTCACCATGAAGAGCATGTAGTGAAAACCGGCATCCAGACTCAGAAAACGTGTCATGATATGATTAAAAAAATTACTTAAGACATATGATTATATTCCTTTATAACACCTCATTTCATTTTCTGGTCAAATTTAAGTTTGTCTAAAGTCACTGTCCATAATTGTCATTTAAATTTTTCATGATGTTCTGTTTTTTTTGTGATTAACTGAAGAGTGGCCTGCACAAGACGCACAAGATCTCCATGAGTTCTTTTGTGAGTTATTTGACGAATTTAATTAGATCTTCCAGAGAAAACAGTAGTTTGAGGTGCCAGAACTGTGGCACCTCAAACTACTTCATCAGTTTCTCATGGAAAAAAACATACACAGCTTTGTTAGATTCAATTAATCAATAAACATTCATTTGACAATTTAGTTGAAGTAATGTAGTTTTATAGTTTGACAAGATCCCACTGTAGCCACTTGTTATGAATGGATGCTCATTTTAGCTGCAACGACTACGATCACCAATTGATGTGTGCTGGAATAAAGAGGCTCTCCATCACTGTAAAACCCTGTCAATATGACTACAGGCTCCATGAAATATGCATTGAAGCTCTAAGATCAATCCAGACTTATTATGAAATAATATTGTATAGAGATGAGGCATGAACCCAACTCTTCAATAGCCACTGAGCACAAGTGAGGGAGAAAATACATCAATTACAGGGATTCTAAATCTAAAAATATGTTGACATGTTTCTGCTTTCAGCTGTCCTTAATTAATCATCATGTCAGGTCTATGAGGAGCAGCATTCACCACATCCCAGTCTCTGAACTAATAATAATGATAATAATGCTATTTTATCAGTCATTAGTACTTATGCTACAGTAAGTGACAGGAAATAACTAACAACAATAGGAAAATTATAAAAGCTATACAGTTGTTGTGAACGCAACCAGACGCACTTCAAAGAAGGTCAGATGGTGTCAAAAGAGGGAGGGAAGTTTCCCTCCCCGAGAGTTGACCTCTTTCACATGTAAAACCCAGAGACATCGCCTGGTGTTGGTAAGGACCGAAAGAGACTCAATCAGACAATGAATCGCTTAAGGATTGTGTATTCAGAGAGCCTTAGTGAACCTTTCTAGCTGTAAAGGTGTCACTAAAGACAGTCCACAGGACAGGAAAAGGGGCGATCTGACCCCTTTTCCCTCCAGCAGGTCACCTCCAGCCTCAATCTGACTCTTTTCTCCCCACAGAACGGCTGAGCCATAAACCACCAATTCATTCTCTGATATCCTGTGCGATAAGCCAGGAATGCAGAGAAGACCATAAAAACCCCTGTTACTCAAACCAAGCAAGGTTCCAGTATAACTGTGTTTATTCTGTTTAAATAATAACCTTGCTAAGTGAGCAGCAGTGTTAGCCTCTGAGTTTAGTAAGTAATAACCCTGTTGTTATCCTTTAGTGATGTTTGAAGACTAGCAGACCCATAAGAAAGTAATCTTGAACTAGTTTTCTAACCTCATTCTGTGTTGTCTTAAGTCATTCCTGTTACTCCCTAGTAATCACTGTCTATTCAATGCTAACTAATGCTTTAGTTAAATGTTTCATATACAATTTCTTACTAAATTATCCATGGAAACGCTCGTAGGCATCACCAGCCTCTCAGTTAAAGTGGAATGTCTACTCTTTTCTTGTGTGACCCGAGCGCCACCAAGGGGACAAGAAAGGTATAACACGCAAGTGTTTAAAACTCGGTTTACACTGACAGAATTGTTAAGTAGGCCTAACTATCACCACGTAATTGCATAAACGAAATTATACTGTCATGCTGACATCTAAATTGTCTCATGAGTTAAAACCAGTAACCAGCAAGTATACTGAGGACATGTAATCAAGCTTTGTTACGTTTTATATAACCATTATAAACTTTTTCCATAGTGTTTAGCCTTGTTTTAACTGTCTTTATCCGAATGTTTAGAACTAAGTATTTTTCCAAATGTCGATATTGTGGAGAGAGAGATCAAAGAGAAATACGCGCAACGTATATTTCTTTATCCCAAAAGTTAACACCTTAGCGACGTTTGTGAGACCATCCCCAAAATTGACGTCACTACCTAGCGGAATCAATAAAAAGGCCTTGCTGTCTTTTGTTCTAGGCTTCTTACCTCTTCAAAACTCTTCGTTTAAACTTTCTTGAAACTAAACGTATACGTTCTCTTAAACTTCCTTTACTTTTGAAATTCCGATTTTTGTTTCGTACTTAAATTTCCTTCAGACGAGCTGAGAAGGCTACGACCCTGAATTCCAAATTTCTCAGCGGGAGATTTGATTTTCTTTATTTTGTTTGGAGCTGCCTGTTTAACCTCAGCAACATTAAATAGCCGATATTCCCGAGGCGTCGCGAACCTACGGTGAATGTGTGAGTTTATTTGATTTTGTTGTTGCAACCCCATCCGACCGTTGTGAGCAACTTTGGACCAGAAACTCAGAAGCCTTCATTTATGGCCTTGAATAAATGAAACTACGGCTCTGACGACCAAAACCCTGAGTGGGCCCTATAGCGACACCAAACGAACTGAGATCAGAGCAAAAGCCTTGGCTGACAGCCCGTTGCTGCAAGCGCTTCCCACAGAGGACTCCGGAACCAATCCACCGGTTTCAACCCAACTCGAAAACGCCACTGGGGTCGGGCCAGAACCGACTTCCCGAGTCAACCGGCAGTCGAGCCTCGCCACGGGACCTGCGGCAACGGTAGGCCAAAACAAACAACACTCTGTGACTCGTTGGTGATCTATGGGCTCCATCCACAGTTAATAAACCCTTAGATTAGACAAGCTAAATCTGCAACCCAATTTCGGTTATTCGTTCCCTCATACTCGTAGAATTCTCTCCCTCTACAATAAACTAAAACTCAATCGAACCTTACATAGGCTACCCTTTTAGTACCTCCTTGTGGTCATATTAACTGTTACCCCTGTAATATCACCACATTTACCCACTATTGTACTCTCTTTTGTTAGTTAATAAATTCACTTTGAGCACAGCGATGTATGTGTGTGTGTTATTCAGAATCTAGAGTCCCTATACACAGAACTTACGCTCAGATCTGAGACTGACTGACTGACCTTACGATTTCAGAATAACAACTAATGAATTAACCGAACTCGGTATAAATCTCAGGCTATACTCAAGGACCTAAAGGCTTGGGCGGACAAGCAAATCTTTAGGTGGTGCTCCTAATTTCGAGGTATAAAATTAATATTCCCGGAAATATTAATTTTCATAACTGTATTAAAATTTTACGTAGCCGAGATCTGCTACACAGTATTGAGCAATAATTTTTATTTTAGAGAAACATTTTGGCGAATGGGCACAAAACACACTTCCCAAACACACCAACTCTGTCGTAATGTCACTCTTTTGTGTGTGCATCTGTCATGTCAGGTGTAACAGTGGGCTTTGCTGTATTTAGTAAATAATTCTAGTTATTTACTCAAATAGCTGAAAGGATATCTCCCAATAAACTTAGGTGAAAAATACTCCTACACACTGTCTTGCTTACATTAGGTCAATTCCACTTGGGGACATTGTGCCATTAGGTATAAAAAAAGTACAATTACACTTTATTATTAAAAATTATCACCATATTTACTCTTTTTTTAGTTTTAGTTGGATGGATATGGATGAAAAAATTAATTATGCATTCATAAAATTTTGAATAGTTGTTCTTTGTCCCCATTGACCTAGACATAATTTTACTCTATTCACAACCGCAGGGACAAATAATTCTATATTCTTCCTGAGAAAAAAAAGTATTAGTAATTATTATAAGTATTTAACATTAAAATGCTGCTGCTGTGAAACTTTACTCATGAGCTTGTTGTTTTCATTCTTCAAAAGTCACCAGAATGCAGGAAACAAAGTCTCAGAAACTCAGAATCTCCACTTTGGTTTCAAAATCCTCTGTATTTTTGAGGTCTCATTGTTGGCAAGTATGCCTTGGACTGAGCCAGGCTAGCTCAAGTATTTTTATGCTAAGCTAAGTTAACCATTTCTTGGCTGTTGCCAAGACAGACATGAGATTGGCATCACACTTCTCAACTAACTCAGCAAGAAAGTTAATGAGCTTTTTTCCCCAAAATATTGAACTGTTCCTTTAAGTAAAAACACCCTCTTTATCTAATTAACTTGATGGTATGTGTATGTTTTCTCAAGGTGTTTCATTTACCAACAGACCAAATATTTTGTGGTCCTCTGATTGATTAATTTACCCAGCATCTGTGTATAAATAATGAACTGTTGTGACTTCTTGTCCACATGAGGATGCTGTAGACAGACACATTGTAAAGGTATGCGCAGGACTTTTTATGAGCTGAAATATTTGAGATGCGGTGAGAGTGTTGCTGCTCAGTAACAGTCCTGATAATAGATGACTTAGATGGAGTTGATATTGATCCACCATTTTATCAACTCTAATGGATTACTGGCTGTGACCATAACACCAAAAAGCACACAGACACACACACAAACACTCATTTATCATCCCACTCTACCTTGTCATAGTATCGTATCTCGTAGTCGAGAATAATCCCGTTGGGCTGTTCGGGTGGTGGCCATGACAACGAGAAACTGCGGCTCGTTGAGCTCACTTGGTGCATTATGGGAACTGCTGAGGGAGCTGTTAAAAACACACACACACACAAAGATACACACAATCAATTAGGCAGTTAAAAGATTCACTAGCATGCTTAAACACCATAAATATGGAAATATAGTGTGTAATTTAATGACATATTGCCAAGGATTATTTACACCCAAAGGAGAAAAATGTTTCCTCATCCAGCCTCATGAAAACAAATTACTGCTCTTGTCACTGATGGAGAAAGAAGAGTTATGTCTGCAATGCATTTTACCCATAATTTTAGGAACCAGAAGCTGTTAGCTATAATGTGTTTCATGGTTTTGCCTCTGGGATTCTTTTATGAGATGGTTTTCATCACATTTGTACTTAGAGTAAAGTGGAGAGAGGAGGTGAATCAAGACATGGAGATTGATACTACACTAGTAACAAGTATCAAAACGATGTAAGTTATATTGATAATGAGAACGTATGCATCTTAGACAGCAGAGTCATAAGGACATCATGGAACTACCATAATCCTCAGTAAATGCTGTGATACTTCATGGGCCAAATACGTCTTCTGTTTCATATTTTGACAGCGTGAGCAAGCTGAAACCTGAAAACCTCAATCTTTTTAAATATTGCCGCAATTGACATTTTACAGGGTTGTCTATATGTCGAGTGAGTTTCATATCCTAAGGTCCCTTGATATACGCTAAACCTAGTGCATAATTTAAACACCATCCCCTCTCGCAGTGCAGTCAACCGGAAAATAAATCATTTTTTGTTGAGTCCTAAAAGATTTCAGGGATAAGAGAGTTTTTCATCCGGTAGTCAGCAGTAACAAATGCGCTCAAAAAGCAGCAGGGTGACAATGGATCATGTTTCGATTAGGATTGAGCCTGGGTTGCTGTAGATGAGGTAAATGATGTGTTTTCCATCAGAGTAAAGCGGCTTTTAAATCTAAATTTGGGTAGCGGTGGAAATATCACTTGTGTCTGTCTCCATAAAGTATTGATGGAGCAGTAACTCAGCTCACTTTATAGTCTCCAAGAATTACACTGTCAGAGACTCAGAGAGGGACAGAGAGATGGGATAAAGGCAAGAAAAAATACTGGGGGAGTGGCAGAGGGAAGGAGGAAAACAGGATGAAAGCTGTGAATGTGCAGGAAAGGCAGAAAAGGGGGGAGAAAAAGGCAGACAGAGGGAGAGAGATGACAAGCTTATAACATGTTTTATGAATTAAAAGGTTGTAGCTCAATTTCCTTTATCCCCCTAGCCAGCCTAATCCACTGTGCCCCAGGGTATGCTTGCACACATATACACTGATGCTTGCACACACACACACACACACACACACACACACACACACACACGTGCACGGCTTTTGCAATCCTCACTCACCAGCCTGATTGGTTGTAATGTTGATTGACAGTTGCTGGGCGGGATAAGGGCTCTTGTTGGAGACTCCATTGACTGCCTGTAGAGTACAAAATGTAATGGTCAGCTATTCCTCCTTACAGACATTAGTTGCAGTTGCTAGGCCTGTCAAGCTTTCTGTTCTTGCTGTACATAAGGATTATTTTTCAAATCGATTAATCTAACAATTATTTTTTTGATTAGACGATTAATCTAACGACTAATTTTGGATATTCTAAAGAAAAAAAATGTTGCCTATTACTCGATTAACATACCAGTTTATCCAAAATAAATATCAAAATCATGTCTAATCAATAAATCAATATTTTATTCAATCAACCTGATGAAGCACATTCGAATAATCAATAGTAGCATATCTTAAAATGAATCCAATTTCCACGTCACTGATGTGTTGTGATAATAACAGTTACAGACATTAATTAGGCTACTTTACTTCAAACTTTAAATGTTTCTGACATGGATTTATTTCAATATTGACTAATGCAGTATGATAATCACAGGCAAATGTATTTCTGCATCAGTATGGGGCAAAGAAAACAACTGAAACGATTTACAGACTGTGCAGACAGTCACAGATTGTCTGTAATGTTAGTTTCAGCTGTTTTCTCGCTCACACGTGGCCATTAAATAAACAGAAAATATGAAACAGCTGAACATTAGATGACATACGGTGTAACGTTACTTTGCCATGACAGCAGCGGGGCAGAAATTACTTTTAACATGAAGGCAATAAATTTGACGCACGTAATGCGAGTCGACGTATTTACGTAATCGATTACGTCAACTATGTCGATGAATCGCCCCAGCCCTAGTTCTCGCACTGCACATATAGTCTGTTTCTCAATCTGCGTTCTTTTCTGTACTTGTGTTCTTGTGGATTTGTGAAATGTCATCAGTCACAGCCAAAGTACTGTTCCAATTCAAATGTCCGCATCTAGCCAAATACAGTCAAATACTCAGATGTGCTCCGCCCGTTTTACCGAGCCTGTATCGGTGGTGACTTGTGTGGATTTCGGATAGCCAGGTATCCTATAATGCATTTTGTCGCCAAAAAGCGGATATGTCGGAGGAGAAAACTCACAACTGTAAGTTATAATATTGCTGTTCTTCTGTCACATACAGCAGTTTTAAGTAGTTTTTATGTGGGAATATATATATATATATATATATATATATATATATAACCAAATATGTGGTTGATTTGTCAAGACAGAGCTACGACGGAGATGTGAGGTCGCGCCCGCTAATGGGTCCGGCCGTCATCAAGTCTGCTGCTGTTCCAATTGCTGAATGACGGACTACGTGCTCCCGTTCCTGGGAGTTTGTACTTCCGAGCTGCAAGTCCGAGCTTTTTAAGTACAGAAGTCCGAACTTAGCGAACTCGGTATTGAAAAACAGCCATGCAGTTCACAGTGGTGAACAGTGGCAGATGTAACACTCGAAATTCTTAGTAACTGTTAACAACAGCAGTCCCTTCATTTCAGACAGATGTAGATAAAAGGCTTTTCGATTCTAGCCAGCAACTAGCAATTTTACTGGCTGAAATGACAACTGTCGCCAGCAATTTATAATCAGTGTAACTAGCTAGCTGATTAAGCCAACATTAGCTCCATGAGTAGGTTGAAAACACCCTTTTACTGACGAATGATATTGTGCTAAAAGAATGAGGCTAAAGACACATGTCCCAGGCATAAAATAAACTGATCCAAGAGATAACAAAACAGATTGTTTTTGTACTTCATTATAGAGCTAGTTAGTTATTTAGTATGATAAGGTAAAATGTAATCAGACTGTTATTTCCTGCTTAAATAACTGCTTGACTTCTGAACTTACATATTTGGGCAAGCAAGACAGAGGTTAGATGTAGGACTTATTGTTCTTATTTTCTAACAGAATGTTTCAATTTTAATGTTTCAAGAGAAAAGACTTTTAGGATGAGGGGACTGATGTGTCTGCCAACCTTATAATATCTGGTTGGCGTAGTGTTTTAGCTCAAGGCAAAGCTGCTAACATTACCCTACACTATAGCATCCAGGGCTTAGCCCAGCCCAAAAAAGGAATAAACCGAATCTGAACACTTCTGATCAGACAGATATCTCACCACAAATCCACACAAATGTTATCTTAAGCATGTCTGAGAAAGTGCAGCTCACAGCCGCTTTAGAGGGAAGCATCCTGCAGCAGAGAGACAGTCAAACAGAGCAAAGTGTCTCGGAGCGAGGGGAACCGAGAGAGCTACAGGTGGCAGTGTCGCGGTCAGGTGTGTCATGTTATTTAATTAAAATTTTGCTGGGGACCATTCAGTGGTTGGTGACAAGCCCTGAAGCTGTGTGCAATACTCTCTTTCTCAACAAAGGCATGCTGAATAACGGGGGGGGTCACGTTACCTAAACTTCAAACATAGCCTCCGTTCTTCCTCCGGAAACACTGATTTCATTTGATTTGACCTGCCCTTGAGTTAAGGTTGCTAAGGGGGAGTCAATTATCAGCAACAATGAGATGGTTTTCATTTCAGTGTGGAAGCACTGCCAATGTCTTATTAGTATGTACAGTCTCACCGTCTTTCTCATCTCTTCAACACAAAGACACAATTAACAGGTTCTGAGTGCGCTTTAAAGACCACCTAATTAGCTGCCACATTGTTTGTCATGAGCTCAGTTAATCATTTTGACTGTCGAAACAATGTCTTCCATCATAGCAAATCATTGAACAAAGGTGTGGTAATTAGTGGCACTAGCTTAATGGCTTACTCAAAGCTCTATAGCTTTGAGTAAGTCATTCCAACACATTGTTTTTCTACATTGATTTTCTTATTTTGTTATCATTTCACATTGTAGTTTGTGTTTCCCCTTTCCTTGACTTTCTGAATATTCAAAAATATCAGTATTACCAAAAAAAGCTCTCTTCATTTCACCAGTGACTATGACACAGAGAGATACACAGATAATTTTAATATCAAAACAAATGTTGGAAAATAAGTGGCACCTAACTTTGATGCCACCATTTATTTTGTTTAAGTAGTTGTCTGTTTTTTCACTTGGTGGAAAATGTAATTTTGGAAGAAAAAAAAAGAAATCATATCTCAATGGAAATTAAGTTACATCTTTAAAGGTGGCTGGCTTCAGCTCAATATCATCAATATCATTATCATATCATTATCCGTCCATCCCAACCTTTCAAAATGGATCAACTAACGCATCAAGGCCACAATATTGAGTAGATCTAGTATTGAATCATGTACTGTTTTTTTATTCCTATAAAAATCCTGTTACTTATTAATAGGTCCATTGGACTTATTGAGCTACAGGAGGTCTCTGGCCTAATGATTAAGATTTGGCCACATTTAGATCTGAAGATCAGATGACATTTTACAATCAAAAACTGAAAGTAATGTAACAAGCTTCTTCCACCTTAACAATTACAACACAGCTGACCTTGATTTAGACACCCAGCCTTGATTGTAAAAGCGGCTGATGGCAGAAGATTAAAGGTTCACCATCGTACTGGCTTTATCGGCATCATGGTGGCCTTGTGGTTTGAGAGAACATGATGTAACTGCAAATTGTGCATAAAAGCCCCCATGTCAGCAATCATCTATGTAGCCTCAGTATCCTTGAGCATCACAGTGAATATGTAACAGTTGTTAAGTATATTTTAGGATAGTTTTTATAGATTTCAGTATAAAGTAAGTCAATCTTCATAAAAGTTACATTTCAAAGTATTTTTCCTAAACATTGTGCAAGCAGTGGTGTGAAAAATTACAACCTTTGAGCATCACACAAAGTTTTGAGATCATTTGGACTAATAGTGGTCGAGATGGCGCCAGTGTGTGTGGTATTTTGTGCAGGAGTTATAACACGAGGTAGGTGGATTGGTATACAGTATCTACAATATGACAACAGTATGAGCAGCTCTGAATTGTTAGCCAGTGGTAACCAGTAAACAGGTGGCTGAGTTATTGGGTTATTGCACAGGAATTGTTCCTGACACTGTGAGTCAGCTAGCAGGTTGGCACCGATGATGTTTTCTTCCAACGACCTAGTAAGGTTTGATTATGGTAGAAATAAAACTTGGACCCTTTCGACTCCTGGTTGGTACCTGTTGTTGGCCTGGATGAGGTGTTCCAGCCATGCGGCCCTTGCTCTCCTCAACCCTGCTGGCGCGGGGTAAATCTGCAGAACCTGCGGCCTCTGTGCAGGTTCCTCATACAATCAGTGGTGTAGACCCACCGTTTCCTGTCAGGGTTGACTAGTAAACGCTAAATCGCTAGCAAACAAAACTTTTGTCCTTAAGGACTTCTTCACATCCCGGGGATGGATTTTCTCTGTAGGCCTATGACTGAGACATGGCCGAGAGTTGGTGAGTCTAGTACGTTTTCTGAACTCTTATTTCATGACTGTTGCTGTTTAAACTCCCCGTGGACGTCGGGCCGAGGAGGAGGAATAGCAACTGTTTATAAGAATGGGTGTAAATGTAAGCAGTTGTCGCTATCATCCTCGTTCACCAGCTTTGAACTGAGCTTATTTGAACTGGGTCGCTCTCACAAAGTGTTGTATGCAGTGGTCCACCAGCCTCTCAGATACAATAAGGACAATAAGGAAGTCAGATCTATGTGCCACTTAAAAAGAATAAAACTGTTGTACCGTTACTTAAGTGTCTTGACGACATAAAGGCCTGGATGGCTCTTGAACTTTTTAGTCTTAATGAAAGTAAGACAGAAGTGATGTTTTTTGGTGGAACTACTGGGACCCCCGTGTTGATCGGGGTTCCTTGAGTCAGTACATCAAATGTCTTTGATGTTCTCTCAGGTCAGCCGATCAACTGCTCCTAAGTTTGCCCACAACAAAGCGCAAGCTCAACTGTGCTTTTGCTGGAGCAGCTCCTAAACTGTGTAACGATCTACCTTTGCACATTAGACAGGCATCTTCACTGTCTTTTTTTAAGTCTCTTCTTAAAACCCACCTCTTTTCCTTGGCCTTTGAAAACTGAAGTTGACATTTCTTTTTTTGATTGATTGATTGATTTTATTGTTTTATTGTATGGTTGTTATTGTTTTTACTTGTATTGTATGCATCATGTAAGCTATGTATTAGTGTCTTTATTTTTTATTTATTTATTGTTCTGTACGACACCTTCTGTCCACTTTCAATGTCTAAAGTGTTCTATAAATATATTTTGATTGATTGATTGATTACATACACTCAAATCTCTAGGATTAAATGGTGGCTTCAAGTTTGAAGCCTAAAGGCAGTAAGTGTGATCCTCAAAAGAGCATTCCTTTAACAATGCTGAACAGCATGCACACTGAAGAAAATCTTCCCAGAATAAATAAGGCTTTAAAAAAAAAAAAGCATTTCTCTCTGCTCAATGGACAAACCTGTATGTCAAAGGTGTAAGATGTGTGAGCCCGCAGCTTGCTGATCTCCACCCTTGTTTCCTTTAACCCTCGCTTCCCTGGAACGAATGCCACGCTGTCGTCACACGGCTGACATGCCCGGCGCTCACTGCTGTGGCACCGGCGGCATAAGACATTATATGACAGGTCATCACGGTGTCCGAGGTCACGTGGAGAATGCCACTCCAGCATAACCGATGTCTGATTGACGACTGAGACGACGTTGCGAGGAGCTGAAGGGACACCTAGAGAAAGATGACTGGAGGTTAAGGGATTGACTCATCAAGACATGGATGCAATCAAACTTGATAATCACTTGAAACAATAATTCTTTTTTTTTTTTATTAAGCAGTACCTAACAATAGCTGACATATGGGTATTTTTTGTTATCCCAGGATGGCTGGTATTTTATTGCTAAGCAAGCAATAAGCTATGTTTGGAAATGTTTCAGTTGATATAATATTATTGTAACTAGCAGGCCAAGAACTCTTATATTGTGATTAATGTAAATGGAGTGTGCCATTTCAGGTTTACTGATTTATTAGTTTGTACACAAGCTGGAGTATCATTGTCCTGTGACCCATCCATCTTTTCTATAAGCAAATCTGACCCATTAGTGAGATAATGTAAATATTCAACAATTAGGGCATTAGGACTAAAAGAGGAAAATAAATACCAGTACTAACTTCGAGAAATAGGACTTATTTTAACTTCAGTATTTCAGTTTGCCGCAACTTTGTACCTCTCTACATTTCACAAGGAAATATTTATTTCGAGGCTGCCTACATGCAAAGTTGCCAAGTGCAGTTTCCGACCAGAACTGCTGGTACAGATGTGGGATTTCAGCCAAACCTGTCTCTAACAGTCAGAAGGTGACCTAACATCTCCGCCAGCCAGAGAATCAGTCTTTTCGTCTGTCAGTCAGTCAGTTTCTCGCTTTCTTTTCTGTCAGCTCATCTCTTTGATCTGAGGTGTTGAAGGGAGTCTTAAAAGCACACACAGAGTTTTCACAAGGTTAAACCTAGCGGGTTCACTTCTCCTTCACTGTTCACACACATCACAATACCCGCGACACACATCAACACCCTCACGACATGGTGGAACAAGAGCAGTTGAAATGAAATAGATATTCAACCTTGGCATATGTTAAATTATAGTCATAAGAAACGTCTTGAGATGGCCCTGTGGAATATGTGTGTATGTGTGTATTTGTCAAACAACTCAGAGACACCCACCCTGCAGAATCAAAGTGCAATACAGTACAGTACAGTCAGTAGGGGGTTGAAAATCTAAGTAGCAAAACATTCCTACTGAGAGAGAGGGCCCGTCAGAAACTGCATTCATTATACACACATAGATGCAGTGTATTGACACAGATATTGACTCAGTCTTACTTTTGATCTGAGTAGCACAAATACAAATTATTTTACACTGTCAAACACAGCAAATACACATTCAAATGCAAAAAAAAGTAAGAAAAGAGGCACTTCAAAGACTTATCTGTGCTGCTGTCTGCAACCATATTTCTTCACTGTTTCGTAAATGGCTTTTGCCGTATCAATCTGACCTATACACAAAAATACACTAAAAAAACCTACACACATCCAGTACACACAGACCTCCTCCGTACCTATGCAGCACATAAGGCATACTGAGGGAATGATTTTCTATCAGGCAACTATCCACACACTGCACACTCTTCCATTTCACTGATCTGATTTTATATGTGATTGAGTTTATACCAAATAAAAAACTGAAGCTCCTTCCTGTATTGAGGTTCTAGCCCACAGTGTTCAGAGTTCTCACTCTCCTTTTTCTGCTGTTGCTGTTGTGTTTGAAAAACTTGTAACTCCATTTGTTTGTGCCCTTGAATTGAAAGCACCAAGGTAATTCACGAGGCTGTGTAGGCTGAGTAGGTTGACACTTGACACCTTTTCTCTGGGAAAGTAGATTTTTCTTCTGTCAGCATCAATTTGAGAGTGTGCTGCAGCTGTTTGAGGTGAGGCTTTTCATGTGGTTTCTTTCTTGTCAGAATAGGTTAACCCCATAAATTGTTCCATAATCACTTTCCCATATAATGTAATGAATGATGAGTGACACAGTTTGACTGCAGTACAAGTAAAACAATATTGCAAATATTGCAGCATGTAGCCCCAACGAGGCAGACAGTTTCTAGTGTAAGATGACACGAAAAGAGTTTTGATCCTTCTGAACTGGATTACATCTATTGGATTGCAAATCACTCTTTTGCCTCTATGGACGTTTTAATAAATTATTATTGTTATTTTACATTATTTTTCCAACTGAACAGAACTTTAGGTGTGAAAGCCAACCAAACTGTGTGCAATTGGATGAATTAGTCCAGTAGTATAGTATGATTTAGTCAAAACAAACTCACAGGCAGAGGTGAAAACCAGTTCGAAAGAGGAAAAAAAAAAGGGCTAAAAGTAGATATAGCAAATATTTACTTGATAAAATAAAACAGAGAAAATTCAACAGTTTTTGAGTTACCTTTTATGTTTTTTGGTATAATGTTGCAATTTAATTCATGAATGTAAAACAGTAAAATAAAGAGCCGCCCATGAATGAAAATGGGCTTTTTTAGCCCCCAAAAAACAGTTCTATCCAGGTCACCAGGATGTGCACAAACACAAACACACGCCTCGACACGTACACCCAGTTTCGCAGTTTGAGACTAGCTGTAGAGACAGTCCAAATGATTCATGTCTCAACCTACTTACACCATCTCTCTGTGGAACTGAGAGGCAGCGTTTTTCAAACTCTGTGCCTCGTCTTGCATAGCAATATAGCCTTTTCAACACACTAAACACATATTCACTTCAATGGAAAGCCTGAGGAATGTGGCAGTGTTATTACTTACTGCTCCCCAAATCCCCAAACAAGGACGGGGACATAGCAGCACACTTGCTCTGAATGATGTGCATGAAATCAGGGATGGAATGATAAATCAATGCAGATATTGGCCTTTAATTCAATGATGGTATATTGGACTGTCAGTGACGTCAATCACTAAAATTCTGTATTGCCAGCCATTGAGTCCAAAAATCTGCCTCCTGCATAATCACATTAAGCAACACTACTGAGAAAGGTTTATTGAGTACGTATTTTTTGTTCTTTTGCATATGTGTTTGTTTGAGCTTGAGAGAGACTGACTCACTGGTGCACACGTCCTCCGGTTTGTCCATGTCTCCACGGTAATAGCCATTGCGACAACCGCAGAGGGTGGCAGCCTCGATGGTAGAGCGACTGTTGAGCGGACATTGCTGACATAATCCTGCCCCCTGGGACGACTTAAAGGTGCCCTGAGGGCAAGCTAAAGAGAAAGAGAGAGAGGGAAATCACATATAAAAACAATACACAACTCTGCCTCTTGAACATGAATGGAACACAACAAATAAGATGGATGTGTAAAAAAAGTATTTTTGTCTTGATTGCAAGACATTAAGTAAACTTTGTTTTAGAAAGACACTGTACCAGTAGAGTTATTTCTGTTAGAATGAAATTGACAAAGCACAGAGGGGATGGCAAAGGGCTGAACGATTTGGGGAAAAAATCTAATTGCGATTTTTCTGCCAAAAATTACGATTTGCTTTTTTTTTTTTTTATTGAAGTTTTGCTAAAGTTCAATATTCACTACCAGTGTACTTTTGACTGAAGCCGCGTCAAGCAGCACAAAGCAGCTTAACCAGACAGGAAGTCAGACACAGAACGGCATGGAGAATCTGGTCGATTTTCAATATAAAACCCCTTTTGCAGACTCACGATCGTACATCAACAATAAACACAGTTAAAACAGACCAAAAAAAGACACAATATAACTACGTAGCCTACTTAACCATAGTTGAAGCACAAAAATCAAGGACAACTGAACAAATAAGCTAAATCTGAACAAGTCGGCAAAATCAGACAGGCAAACACTCTTATTCTGAAATGCACCATGTGGAAATTAACATTAGCCTGCAGAGAGCGGAACAGAACGGCCTCACAGAGAAATGTTCTCTGTAGTTGAAACACACAAAATGACAAATTAACAACATGTAGGCACAACCACTGCCTGCGTCTGTCCTGCTGGCGCCATTGTCCCACACGTTTCCTCTAGTGTTGCTTGTTGTTGTAAAATGCACACACCCTGTTCCCGCTGATTGGTGAGTAGGACCATAACAGGAGGTGCATGGCGCTTGTGATTGTCGAGCAGATCTGTCACACAAGGATGACAACAGAATGAATTTGTAACTGCACGACTGTTTAAAGCGGGTCAGATGCGCTCTATAATTAACCCACATTTAAATCGCCTCTTCACGATTAACTAATCGCGTTCTTTCAAATCGCAATTTCGATTTGAAAACGATTAATCGTTCAGCCCTAGTATGGCAGCACATTATCTTGTTCAGACAAGATAAACAAAAACATTTTGTGTTGTCCACAAACTTAGTGGCACGCTGATTTGGTCATATATCTGTCATTATGGTTTATTGGTTCCTTTATCTGGGTCAGAGGTCTTCTTGCCCGTAACTGAATCATACTTTCTGACATGACACACATGAGTTCTTAAAGAAGATGTCCCCTTTATTCAGCTTGTATTCATCCAGGGACGGCTTGTGCTGAGCATACAACTCACGCTTGTTATTCAGCTCATATATACTTGTATGGAGTTTCATTTGAATTTAAGTCCACTTAGGATAAGACAAGCCTTGTAATGGTGGTCGGAGTTGACACTTCTGTAGCACTTACAGAAGTTTTGAGTCACTACATGTTGTGTAACTAAGGTGACGCCTGTCTCATCTACAGTGTTTAGTAGGCTGTATGAAAGCCATCCCTTTCAGTTAATTAAATGCCAATGCCACAGCAGGTCTTTTATGGGTCCCTCTACGGCCTTAAACTTGATAAATTATACCACCTATTTTTAAAGCAATTACACATACCAGATCCTTTGTAGTTACCTCTACTGGATAATGTGTATTTAATACCCATCTGTTGCAAAATAACCAAATCAAACTAGTCAGTTATAACTCTGAGCTGTGCAAAGCTTCCCAGTTCATCCAGAGGGAAACTTCAGGAAACGTTCACACAGTTCCATAAATAAGAGTACAAAAAGTACAACAGTAAAAAAGTAATTTAAAGTTCTCATGTGTCGCCATTACCGTACTATCCATTCACACCAACCCACTGTCTGTATTCTTATCCAAAACAATATGCCACAGATGTATGCATCATCCCCCTTTTTTCCAGCTGGTTTTGCAAAAGTAGTGTTGCATTTATCATTTTTGACATGCATTTTTAATAGCAACAAAGTTAAAATATATATTACACTGGCTCTTAGAACAAAATAAGCACAGCACTTTAGAAATTGTGCTGCTGATTAATGACACTCATGTCTCTGTTACCTTAAACATATGTTGTTAAACACAGAGACCTGCCTGTGTGTTTGCGAGGAATATATGTTTTCTATTTACTTAACCTTTATTTTAGTAGGAGGGTCTCTTGAGATGAGAATCTCTCTTTTTAAAGCAAGTCCTAACCAAAATGGTAGCACAGTTTGAAAATAATAAACAGCACAGCACCAGGTGAAATCAAAACACTTTCAGAGCAGCTGCAATTATTTTCTAACTACTGAAGTAAAATCTGAAGTAAAACCCAAGGACAGCTCAGCAGCTGTTCATCTGACTATGTTCAAGTTCAATGTTTCAGGCTAGAGTACTTGGCAATTATTTGTCAGTTGTATAAATATACTATGCCTTGGTCAAGGCATTTTGATAGCAGCTCAGATTAGCCAGTAAACACTTCCATGCTGGTCAGCAATTGAACCCTTCAACGCTCTGATTTTGTGCAGAAACACTGCCACCACAACAGCACCACTACGACTGACTGTATGACTGACTGCGAGCACTGAGAGTATGTGACAAACAAACTAAAATAAAGGTATTCCATCTAGTTTGAAGACAAAGTAGAGAAGGTTAGATTCACTAAACAAATCAAATGTAACATCATGACATGGTCAAACATTTGAAGTAAAACATATCTATGATAGACATCTACATACTGGATACTGTTTATATAACATATAAGTCAGAGTACTTTGTGTCCCAGAAGGAAACCTGGTTTAAATTCACACATGGGATTTCATAAGTGCCTTTTTGGTGAGGGCAAACACTTCTGAATTATGATTATAAGTAAAATAAAATAGCTGAACAGGCAAACAGAGAGGTGTGAAATGAGAAATTAGACTGAAACAATAGCTCTGCCAAAATGCAGGGGAAAAAACAGTTAGTTCTTTTAATGTTACTTTTTTCCCAGTTTTGATTTATTTTTAGCACTTTGTTTTCCTTCCTCCGTTGTATGAATGTTCACTTTATCTCTAAGATGGTTTAGATGCTGTTAAGACCAAAATGCAAATGTTACACAGATTTATGGTGGAAGACAGATGGGTGCCACGCAAGCACACTTTTAGGGAGTCCATACGAACTGGAGTTTAAATGGTGACATGAACTGAGTGAAAGAAGCAAATGAGACAAAGTGCCAGCAAGTTAAGAGTGTCAGAGTGTCAATTAATCAAATGTTAAAGGGTTAGGCAGATTTTGTACACAAACACACAAGAGAATAGGGAAAGAAATTGAGAAGGACTGAATAAGGGAAAGTGACACATAATGAAAGTGCTGTTTTTATTCTTCCCTCTCAATGTCACTGTTTCTGCAGTACTCTTCTATTGTGTTCACTCTCCTGAAATGTTACGTTATTTCTTGGGTTTGCCGATGCTTTTGCTCTAATGTGATTTACAATGGAGGATACTGTTCTTTGCTCCCATGTTTTACTGTATATTACATTGTACATGAAGCAGAGAGCTTGAAGAAACAATTCAGAAATCATATTTGAAGTATACTTCATATCATATTTCAGGAATTAATCAAGCTTTGATTGAATGTGAACAATGGCATACATCGCTGGACCCAAATGATATCACTGAGCAGCTGTTTCACCCCTTTGAAATGATGGGACTGTCACCGTGGGGAAGGACCCAAATGCAGACAGTCGACACAGCAGGATGAGATCAGTGGTTTAATGACCAAAATAGCTTACAGGCAAGTTGAGGAAGGCAGATAGGTAACAGGTAAGAAAGTTCTGGGCTGGTATATGTAGTGAGTGATTAATTAGGGAAGTGAAAACAGGTGAGTATGTGAATGAGCAGAAGGTCAGGTGACTGCAGCGTTGATGTGGGAAATCTGGTGAAAAAGTTCTTCTGATGGGCAGGTAGGGCAATAAATAGTTTTAAGGAAGGGGCTGATGGGGAAAGGAAGGAACGTCCGAAGGCATCTGGTAGATGGATGGAAAATGGCAATGAAGGGGCCTAGGGAAGAGGGGAGAACTTTTGAAAAATCTTTCCTGGAAGGCATTCATAGTGTTGCACTTGGTTGTAACATGAAAAGTAAGTCCTGCAAAGAAGGAAAGAGAAGTTGAGAGAGCATGAGAGAGAAGAATAATTCTTGCCAACTTTCTCACCTCTGCACACCTGGCTAATCATTTTGGAAAGGTGTTTCAGAAAGCTACAGAAATTGCTGGACACAAATTAGCATAGCATAACTCTGTTTGATCCAAACTCCATTCAGAAAACAAGCATTTTAAAAGATGTTTTCGTGTTGTCTTGTGGACAGAGCTGAGAAAGTATAAATTCAGACGTTTTACAAATTGACATCATGATGCAGTAATTTCAGCATCCTTTTATTTGATTTATTACAAAGAAATCCTGGCAAAACCTGTTTATTTTGGGTTCATCCCGCTGTGGTAAACCAGATTTAACCAGCAGTCAATCTTGTGCAAGTAATGCAAGGCAAAAATGTGCTTCACTTTCTGTGAACACACCTCCTACAACTGGTGAATAATTTGTCAGTGTTGTGTTTTTGGCTTCTTTCTGCTGGTGGCCAAAGAAATCAGTTATTGCTGGTTTAAGAGTATAAAGGTGTTGGGGTACTCTATAGCTTAGGAGTTAAGACAGCAACCATGAACCCATACGTCCTTGGTTTGACTCCAGACAGGGCCTTTGTTGCAGTTATATTGCACAATTTTGTGTCATTTCTCTACTCTTCTGTATTTTTTTTTTTTCAAAAATACTAAAGAAAAGAGTAAATGGCTTTGAAAGGTTGTGAGACCGCGTAAAAGGCTCTGTTGGTCTTTACATCCATTATAGCCATTATGTTTTCTCACATTATATTCTCACTCCACATATTCAAATTATCTTCAGCTACAGTTTTGCCAATGTTTCCCTCAATCTCCCTTTGTCAGACATACTGTCTCTCCTTTTCTTGTGTGTATGTCACACTTCATTTCTGTTTCTTTATATTCTGCTGTACTTTTTTTTTTTTGAAGTAGTCTCTTCAGGAGTGTCAATGGCTTGTACCTCTTTGTGTGTGTGTGTGGCTTGAATAGGCAGATAGACATCTGGCTTGTCAAGGTCATTTATTCAACAACCTTGCTCATACACATGGGGTGTGTCACCATGGCAACAAGTCTTGCTCCCTTTCTCTATTATTTATCTCTAGATACCTCTCTGTATATTTATCTCTCTACTAAAACTACATATGCATGTGCGTTGTGTTTGTGTGTAATATTTGTAAAGGAGGAATAGACCAAAATGTTGTCTTGACAGTGGGATTTTAATAAACAATCTGATTATGCGTTGACAGCTGCTCCATAATGATACAATAATTAAAGTGGTCATTATGCTCATTTTCAGGTACATAATTTTATTTAGGGGTTGTGCCAAAATAGGTTTAGATGGTTTAATTTAAAAAAAAATGTGCACATTGCACATAAGATAATTTTTTAATTGTCACTTTGATCAACCTTACGTGCACACAAATAGATTAACATTTGGTTTTTATTGGTGTCACTGAGTTTAAATAGTGTACCATTGTTTAACCTCTTAAATGCCCCTAGGATGCCTATGTCCTTGTCTTTCAGAGGCTGTAGCGGGATTCTTGCTTTTAACGCTAGTGTGAAGATACTCGTATCATCACAAACTAGATAACCTAAGGCATTCATTAGTACCAACCATGTCATGCAAGCTTCTGCAAAGGGGGCCAAATTTAAGCAAATATTTAGAAAGGGAAAACTGGCTTGGCCATTTTCAAAGGGGTCCCCTGAACTCTTGTTTGTTAGTGCTCCTGGTTGTTGTAATGACACTGTTTATGGTCGTTACAGTCACCTGAGACCAAGCCTGAACGACCGTTGTTGGCATTGTCACATGAGGTCTGTGACACACCTCCCATACCTACGATGCTGTCTTTTTATCCCTTCTCAGGAGATTGAACAAACATTCAGACTTGACCTCAGGTGACTCTAACGACCATAATGACGTCACAGTAATAATACTGAATGAATGTCGTTACAACAACCAGGAGCACTAACAAACCAAGTGGTATCCATCACCTTGATAACAACTAGAGCCGAGTTATCGTTTTGCAGATATTATTGGCAGATATAAGCTACTTGCAGATATATCTGAATTGGGGTTTATAACAGCCGATATGATTATTAAAAAAGAGAAACACAGAGTCGTATGTTTCCCTCAGGTCATGAGTGTTGCATAGTTTGCCCACCACAGGGCGCACTGCAGCTCCTCTGTTAACAACACTGCATCACCACAGAACAAAACATCAGCTGACCGCAGTCTACTGGAGCTCAGAGCCGGCTCTGCTGGAGCTATGGTGAGTAGCTACTGTTAGCTCTCACACACAGTGTTCCCAGTGAGTTTGTGTTTTGTCAGGTCAGTTACATGATTTAAGTATTAATAAAAATATCCCTCATCACTTTTCCTCTTCGGAGACCAGACTTGATAACCCTCCCGTTTTTTAACTGCCCTCTCCATCTCTCTAGGCTCACAGTGCGACAGACATGATTGTAGATTTATTTGGCAGTTCTAGCGACCGGTCCTCTCATTTGTCTCTAATTTATTACTTCTAAATATGTTCTAACATCGCCATTTGCTAAATTAGCCACAAAGCTAATGCTGTGTTTATCAGTGGAGGAGGCTAACATTAATGAGCGATTAAATGCTAGTGTCTCTAGTTACAGTCAGTGTGTCAGAAATTATTAAACCAGAGGGGACTTAACCAGATAAAATATATATACACACACACACACACACACACACACACACACACACACACACACACACACACACACACACATATACAGGTGCTGGTCATATAATTAGAATATCATCAAAAAGTTCATTTATTTCAGTAATTCCATTCAAAAAGTGAAACTTGTATAATGTATACATTCATTCCACACAGACTGATATATTTCAGTTCATTCCTTTTAATTTTGATAATTATAACTGACAACTATCTAAGCCTCTGTCGCCTAGTGCTTGCTCTTGGTGGGAACTGTTGGGCTTCTGTAAATAGCATCATAGAGTACGGTCTAGACCTGCTCTTTTATGAAAAGCGCTGTGAGATAACTGTTGTTGTGATTTGGCGCTATATAAATAAAATTGAATTGAAAATTGAATTGAACTAATGAAAACCCACAAATCAGTATCTCAGAAAATTTGAATATTGTGAAAAAGTTCAATATTGAAGACACCTGGTGCCACACTCTAATCAGCTAATTAACTCAAAACACCTGCAAAGGCCTTTAAATGGTCGCTCAGTCTAGTTCTGTAGGCTACACAATCATGGGGAAGACTGCTGACTTGACAGCTGTCCATAAGATGACCATTGACACCTTGCACAAGGAGGGCAAGACACAAAAGGTCATTGCTAAAGAGGCTGGCTGTTCACAGAGCTCTGTGTCCAAGCACATTAATGGAGAGGCGAAGGGAAGGAAAAGATGTGGTAGAAAAAAGTGTACAAGCAATAGGGATAATCGCACCCTGGAGAGGATTGTGGAACAAAACCCATTCAAAAATGTGGGGAAGATTCACAAAGAGTGGACTGCAGCTGGAGTCTGTGCTTCAAGAACCACCACGCACAGACGTATGCAAGACATGGGTTTCAGCTGTCGCATTTCCTTGTCAAGCCACTCTTGAACCAGACACAGCATCTGAAGCGTCTCGTCTGAGCTAAAGACAAAAAGGACTGGACTGCCGCTGAGTGGTCCAAAGTTATGTTCTCTGATGAAAGTAAATTTTGCATTTCCTTTGGGATTTTCATTAGTTGTCAGTTTTAATCATCACAATTAAACGAAATAAAAATTTGAAATATATCAGTCTGTGTGTAATGAATGAATATAATCTCCAAGTTTCACTTTTTGAATGGAATTACCGAAATAAATGAACTTTTTGATGATATTCTAATTATATGACCAGCACCTGTATGTACACACACACACACACACACACACACACACACACACACACACATAATTATTTGCCTATGTAGGAGAGCCCTGTTTATCATTATTATGATAGCAATGACATAATATTTTTAGTAGCAGTACTATATTGGTATTTTTTATAGTTTCTGTTTTGCTGGCCCCCACAATACATACACTATTTAATGTTCACTAGTAGTAGTACTCTATAATTATTATAATCAGATATTTTAAAAATGTTTTCTGTAGTTTTATACATTTGACTCTTATTTATCAAAACTTTAAAGAGGTGGTATTATGCTCATTTTCAGGTTCAAAATGTTAATTAGGGGTTGTACCAGAACAGGTTTAATTTACAAAAAACACCATATTTTTCTCATACTGCACATTGCTGCAGCTCCTCTTTTCACCCTGTGTTGTACGCTCCGCTCTTAGCTACAGAGTGATGCATCTTACTTGTACAAAATCTTTTGTTGGGAGTTGCATGCGCAGTTCCCAGGTAAGGACTACTAGCCAATCAGAAGCAGAGAAGGGCGGGTTGTAAGAAACGAGGTAGTGTGATCCAAATCAAGCCGCTTCAGACTGAGACCGTAACAGATGGTATAAGTGTTCCACATCTTACCATTAGGACTAAACATTGAACTGTTGCCGGTGTTCTGACGATCTATGCTGCCTTGCCGAAAAATGCTAGCATAGCGCAAATCGATAGACTCGACTCTACTCGGCCCTGCTCCGTTTTCCATTGCAGAGATAGTACGTACCCAGCAAGCAATAGCCGTCATTTCACCGTCTAGGTTTACTATAGACCTGATTTAGTCCGGCTATGAGTAACCCACTTCTAGCCGCAATAACTTTACATGTGGTTACATGACGTTTTTGCCAAAATAACTTGCAATGTGTATGATATTCCATCATTTAAGTAAGGTCTACAGTGATTACAAAGTTTTTTGTTTCATTTCTTACACATGATTTACGTGCAGCCTGTGCGTAGACACGATTTAGCTCGTAGACAGACCGGCTATTTGTAGACAAAAAAGTCACAAATGATTCAAAGTGGGTTATTGCCCTGGCAGCACGTGAGATTATTTTTGCAATGTCAATCATATCTACAAAATATTAAGTGTCATTAAATTGACATGGTCTATCTGTAGCCACGATTTAGCTCTTATTTGGACAGGCTACGTGTAGTCTGCTTTTAGCCCACCCGGGGAAATAGAGGCAATTAGTGGTCTAATATCAATGGCTTGGCTGTAGCCCTGTTTCAGACCAAATAGG